TGAAGATGGAGGATGAGTCTTGAGCTTCAAATTGGCTAAGTTCTTTTGTTTCCTATCCTCTTCTCTTTTTACTAGATGGTTAGATTCCTTAATCTAGGGTTTAATCATCTTAGCTTATAAATTCTAATTTGAATTTGATGTTGATGTAAAGAGAGAGGATTGTTTCATTTAATTTCTTCCTTGGACAGCCATGACTGAATTTTGCCACTCTTTGTTTGGCACATAATCTTGTGTTTTTCAATTAGTGAATTTCTTGTGTTAATATTGCATAATCTTGTGGTGTTAATGCTTGTGTTGTTGAGTAGCTTGACATAATCTTGTGGTTGCTCAATTTATGTGTTTGACCATGGCTGTTGAGAGGGATTTTGAGTGAATCACTTGGCTAATGTCTTCACCAATTGGTTAATTGAACTAGGGACTTTAATCTAAGACCTAGGGAGGTTAGCTAATTAGGTTAATTGGCTTAGGATAATTTTCTTAAGTCATGACAGCTTTAGTCAAGAGGAAAGGGAAGCTAAACTTAGCCTAATCATGAGAAGATAATGAGTCCAAAATCAACTAATCTCTAGGGTTCCATTATTGTAAAAAGGGAAGTTCATTTCACTCACTTTCACTAGCATTTTAATTACTTGCATATTAGGTAATTAGTTTAGATAATTAGCTAGATAACTAAATTCCTACAAACTTTGGTTGATTTATTTCACTAGATAACTTTCAATTAGACTTAAAACCATTCCTTGGGAGATGACCTAGGGTTGGCCCTATATTGCATTAGGGTTAGCTTTAGTGTAATTTTGAGGATAAGCGACTAATTTCCTATCAAAATTTTGGCGCCGTTGCCGGGGAATGGTTTAAGTTTAATTCTAAGGTTGTTTAGTACTTAATTTACATTTTTAGTGTTCCTGAAAAATCTTTTGAAAAATTATAAAAATTTGTTTTTTGTGTTTTTTTAGTGTTTTTTGTGTGTTTTGAGTGTTTTTATTCTGTTTTGAAAAAGAAAAAAAAAAATTAATGCAATTTTTCGTTGGTTTGGTGTAGAGCTGAAAATACTCTGTTTCTAGTGTCTCTGTCTGAAATTGAAAAATTAACTGGGAATGAGTCTGAGGGAATTTGAACTTGAAATTTATTTCATTGAAAGCTCTATATCCTAGCTTCACTTTAAAATTGGTTTGGTCAATTTTGGACGTGGGAAGTGTCCTGTGGAAATTTTACAATCTAACAAGGTCCAGGGAGCCATTACAGAGGATTTCCAAAACCCTGTTTCAATTTTGAGTTAGCATATCTTCCTCTTTGTGCGTTCAAATTGATTGATTCCAGTTTCATTTTTCTTATCGCTGTCTTATCTTTGTTTCTTGTGTTTAGGATTTTCTTCAATTTTTCCATTTTCCTATTTGAAAGTTTGTTAGAAGCTCTGAAGGTCTTCTGGACGAAATCCTGTTTCTCCAGACTTGAGGACCAACTTGTGAAAAATTCTGGGAACGATTGGGAAGGATTTTTAATCTAAAAGTTTTATATAATTTTCCTGTATATCTCTTGTGTTTCTCATAAAAGTTTCAGGGGAATTTATCATGTGGATTTGCTGATAGAAAATTCACAAGTTCACTGTCTCCAGAGAGCCTACTGTGCGAATTCCAGAATTGCCAAAGCTTCTTGATTGAGCATTTCTAACTCTCTTTCTACTTGTTTGGTGTTATTTTTTTTTTCATTTTGTTGCTATTGAGTTTAATAAAAAAATAAAAAAATTATTTCTCTTGCTTTTGTGTGTTTTGAATTGTTTCATGTTGATTTGCATTTTAGTTTAGCTTGTTCTTTGTTCTTAATTTTCTTGAGCTTGATTAGTGCATGACCCGAAGAAAACATACCTCTTTTGTTGAATTAGATCCAGAAATTGAAAGGACTATTTCTAGATTGAGAAGATCACAACCTATTCTTGATTCTCATTTGGTTTGTAATTCAACAATGGAAGGTATCTTAGGACATGAGCATGTGCATAATGAGGGCCATGGGAATGGGAATGAGAATTTGCATGATGATGGCCATGTTAATAATGAATTTGAAGGCTTGCATAACCCTAGAGAGGAGAGGAGCATTAGGCAATTAACTCAACCTAATTGGCATGATAATCCTTATGGCTTATATGTTCCTCCTACTAATGTTCAATTTGAAATTAAATCCTCCTTGATTAATGCATTGCCTAAATTTCATGGGTTACCAGGAGAGGATTGTCATAGGTTTTTGCATACTTTCCTATTGGTTTGTGATACTATGAAGCCTATGCATGTAAATGTTGATGATGTTCAAGCTAAGGCTTTTGTATTTTCTCTTGAAGGTTTAGCAAAGGAATGGTATTTCAACTACCCTTCTTATGTGAAAGTGAGCACATGGGCCGAGCTAAGAAGACTCTTCTTAGATAAATTCTTTCCAAATTCCAAGGTCACCAATTTGAGAAAGCAAATCTATGGGGTCCAACAAGGAGAGGATGAGAGTCTCTATGAGTATTGGACTAGATTCCAAGGCCTTTTGGCTAAATGCCCACACCATCAAATTTCTAGTGAGAATTTAGTCCAATATTTCTATGAGGGCTTGATTCCAAGAGACAAAGTTAACATTGATGCCGCTAGTGGTGGATGCTTGATTGACCTCACTTCCTTAAAGGCTTGGGAACTAATTGACAAGATGGCTTCAAGTGGTGCTCAATACTCTACAAGGGAAAAGAGAAATGTGAATATGGTAGGTTCCTCAGTTCTTAATGATTCATATGTGGACTTGCTAGCTGCCAAGATTGGGAGAATGTTGGCTCCACAAATATCTCAAGTGAGCAATGTAAGTACTTCTCAAGCACTTGTCCCTTATTCTTGTACTTTTTGTGACTCACCTATGCATGTAGAAAGCAATTGTCCTATTAAGTTTGAACAAGTAAATGCTATCTACAATGGAAAACAATCCTATGGTGGGAGGCAAGGGCAAGGAGCTTATTCTAATACTTACAACCCTTCATGGAGAGACCATCCTAATTTCTCCTATTCAAATCCAAATGTGGCTTTACAAGACAATCAACAAAGAGGATCCTATCAAAACACCTTTGGCCGTGACCCTCCACCTCATTTGTCTCAAGGTAGCTCTTCTCAAAGCTACAATCCAAGTGGTAATTCTCTTACACCTTCTTCTAATTCTTATAGTGATAGGAGGCTTGTTCCAATTGAGAGTTCTTCTAATTCGAACTCTTCTAATGATGTGAATGTGTTACGTAAGCAGTTGATTGAAATGAACTCTTTGTATAAAAACATGTATGATGGCTTAGGGAACAAGGTAGAGAGTATGGGTAACAAGTGTGAGAACATGAACTCTAAAATTGATGCCCTTACTTCTCAAATGAATATGCTTGCTAACCAATTAAGTGCAGCCAATGCTCAAGCCTCTACATTACCATCCAACACCGTTGCTAATCCTAAAGCTAATCTTAATGCTATCACATTGAGGAGTGGCAAGGAGTTGGGAGAAAGAGTACAAGAAGACAAAAGACAAGGGAAGGCCGAGAAGCCCTCTTTAAATTCTTCAATTGATGTTAATGTTTCTAGTTCTTCTTTTGCTCCTAATGATGCATCTTTTTGTAGAGATGATGAGGATGAAAACATTGAGGAGATCATATGTGAGCAACCACCATCTAAGGTGGAAAAGGGGACTATGGCCGAGTTGTTTAGTAAGGAAAAAGAGGGAGAGGCCGAGCAAAGTGAAACAAGAAAGGAGAGTTCAAGGAAGGAAGAAGGAAAGCAAAGTCAAGAGATTATGAAGAAGCTTCCTTTTCCACAAGCACAAGTGGTCCCTAAGCAAGTAAAGGGACAATTTGATCAAGAGGTATATGATTTCTTCCACAAGATTCATGTTAATGTACCCTTGATGGATGTAGTTAAGAACTTTCCTAAGTATGCCAAATTTTTGAAAGATTGTTGTACAAATAAAAGAAAATTTAGGCCTAATGCAAGGGTACAATTACCCTCATCTGTGAGTGCTATCATGAAGCCTCAACTCCCTATAAAATGTGAGGACCCCGGTTCCTTCACAATTCCATGCAAGATTGGCAACACACATTTTTCTCATGCATTGATAGACTTAGGTGCAGCCATTAATGTTATGCCTCTTTCAATTTATCATGCCTTGAGTCTTGATTGCATGCATAAGACACCTATGATATGCCAATTAGCGGATAGAAGTGTTAGAAGACCACATGGAGTAGTAGAAGACTTGTTGGTTTGTGTTAAAGGTCTATTATTTCCTGTGGATTTCTATGTGCTTGATATGTCAAAAGAAGGGAGTGGGGATGATATTTTGATTTTAGGAAGGCCATTTATGAGGACTGCCCGTACATTGATTGACATGGAAAAAGGTAGTTTGATTTTGAAATGTGGAGAGGATCATGTTATTTTTAATATATATGAAGCAATGAAACATCCTTTTGAGGATTATTCTTTGTTAGGTGTAAGTTCCATTGAGTTATTGCTTCATGATGCTTGTGAGTCTCACATGCTTGATTCTTTCTCACATGTTGATGATGATTTGTCTCTTGTTACTACTACATGTATTGATGGATGTAGTTGTCCTATTTGTTTAGAGATTGATGCATGCTTGAATGATGCAACTACTTCTTCTCATGATTTGTTTAAAATATCTCCTATGCTTGATCTTGAAATGCTTGAGAAGGGTATATCTTCTTGTGTTGTAGGTACTAAAGCCATTAAGGCCGAATCTATGAGTTTTTCTCCACTCGAGCTTGATGTTCTTAGGATTCCCAAGCTATTGGAGGAAAATTCTACACTTTCACATGTCGAGGCCGTGGCTCAAGTCCAAGCACTTGAGGACAAGTTGCAAGAAAAGGGGGAGGCTGTAAAGAAAGAAGAGGAGAAATCAAAAACAAGTGAGAAGCCTAAAAGACAAGATAGTACCATGGAATATTCCACCAAATTAGACTTGAAGAAGCTCATTCCCTCTTGTGTAGAGCCACCTACCTTGGAGTTGAAGCCTTTACCATCCAATCTCAAGTATGCATATCTCATTGAGAATGAGAAGCTTCCGGTAATAATTTCTAACTCTTTATCTCTTGAGGAAGAAAATGCATTACTTGATGTGTTGAGAAAGAACATACATGCTATTGGTTGGACTTTGGCTGACATTCCTGGTATTGACCCTATTGTGTGCACACATAAAATTTTTCTTGAGGACAATGCTAAGCCCATTAGGCAACCACAAAGGAGACTTAACCCATTGATTTTAGATGTGGTAAAGAAAGAGGTTGTTAAGCTACTTAGTGCTGGGATCATCTATCCTATAGCTGACAGTGAGTGGGTGTCTCCAACCCAAGTTGTACCTAAGAAAGGGGGGATTACTGTGGTAAAAAATGAGAAAGGAGAGCTTGTTCCAACTAGAGTTCAAAATGCTTGGAGAGTGTGCATAGACTATAGGAAGCTCAATAATGTGACTAGGAAGGACCATTTTCCTTTGCCTTTTATTGATCAAATGCTTGAGAGATTGGCTTCCAAGTCCCATTATTGCTTCCTAGATGGGTTTAGTGGGTATTTTCAGATTCCTATAGCTCCTAGTGACCAAGATAAGACTACCTTTACATGCCCCTTTGGTACATTTGCCTATAGGAGGATGCCTTTGGTCTTTGCAATGCACCTGGTACTTTTCAAAGATGCATGATGTCCATATTTTGTGATTTTATTGAACATTGCATGGAAGTCTTTATGGATGATTTTACTGTGTATGGTGAGTCCTTTGATTCATGCTTGCATTCTTTAGATAAAGTGCTTGGTAGGTGCATTGAAAAGAAGCTTGTGCTTAACTTTGAAAAATGCCATTTCATGGTAGATAAAGGAATTGTTTTAGGCCATTTGATTTCTTCCAATGGCATAGAGGTGGATAAGGCCAAAGTAGATGTGATTGCTTCTTTGCCATATCCTGTTTGTTTGAAAGATTTGAGATCATTTTTGGGACATGCAGGCTTTTATAGGAGATTTATAAAGGGGTTTAGTGAAATTGCTTTGCCTATGTCTAAACTCTTACAAAAAGATGTTGATTTTGTTTTTGATGATGCTTGCAAAAGGAGTTTTGACACTTTGAAAAGCATGCTCATTTCCCCTTTGAGTTGTCATGTGATGCTTCTAATTTTGCTGTGGGAGCTATGCTTGGTCAAAGAGAGGGCAAGTTATCATATGTGATTGCTTATGCATCTAGGACCCTAGATTCAGCTCAGGTTAATTACACCACAACTGAGAAAGAGTTGTTTGCTATTGTTTTTGCACTTGATAAATTTAGATCATATCTTCTTAACTCTAAAGTTGTTGTGTACACTGACCATGCTGCTGTGAGGTACTTGTTTAAGAAGACAGATTCTAAGCCTCGCTTGATTCGATGGGTGATCTTAATGCAAGAATTTGATGTGGAGATAAGGGATAGGAGTGGTTCTACCAATCAAGTAGCGGATCATTTGTCTAGACTACCTCATTTAAAAGCTACTATGGTAAACTCTAACCCTACTATTCCTTGTGATTCATTTCCTGATGAGGCATTGTGTGCCATTTCATCTAAGCCTCCATGGTATGCCTCTTTTGCTAACTATATTGAGTGTAGAGTCTTGCCTCCTTGTGCTTCACGTTTTGCCATTGAAAAATTGAAAAGAGAGTCTAGATTTTACATTTGGGAACCACCTTTGATGTGGAAGATTTGTAGTGATAAAGTGATTAGGAGGTGTGTTGATGATGTTGATGTGCCTTCTGTTCTTGAATTTTGTCACTCTCATGCATGTGGTGGTCATTTTAGCTCAAATAAGACAGCTAGGAAGGTTTTAGATTGTGGATTGTATTGGCCTAGCTTGTTTAAAGACTCTTATGAATTTTGTAAAGCATGCTTGAAATGTCAAAAGGTTAGTAGTTGGGGTAAGAGACATGAAATGCCTCAACAACCCATTTTATTTTGTGAGATTTTTGATGTTTGGGGCATTGACTTCATGGGTCCCTTTCCACCATCCTTTAGTTTTGAGTACATATTACTTGGTGTTGATTATGTTTCAAAGTGGATTGAAGCCATTCCTACTAGAACTTGTGATGCTAAGATTGTTTTGAAGTTTCTCAAATCTAATATTTTTTGTAGGTATGGAGTTCCTAAGGCCTTGGTAAGTGACCAAGGATCCCACTTTTGCAATAAGATGATGAAGGCTCTCTTGGCTAAATATGGAGTGCATCACAAAATCTCTACACCATATCATCCCCAAACTAATGGCCAAGCCGAAGTATCAAATAGAGAAGTCAAGAAAATCCTAACCAAGGTGGTGAACACAAATAGGAAGGATTGGTCTTTACACTTGGAGGATGCTTTGTGGGCTTATCGGACCGCTTATAAGACTCCCATTGGCATGTCTCCTTTTCGATTGGTGTATGGAAAGGCTTGCCACCTCCCTGTGGAGATAGAGCATAGGGCCTATTGGGCCATCAAGAAACTAAACTTGGATTTCCATCTTTCGGCTAAGGAGAGATTTCTTCAAATGCAAGAACTTGAGGAGCTTAGGTTGGATGCCTATGAGTCTTCTAGAATCTATAAGGAGAAAACAAGGATCCTTCATGACAAGCTAATCTTGAGGAAAAAGTTCCAAGAAGGAGATCAAGTCCTCTTGTTCCAAACAAGGTTTATTCATAAGCATGCCAAGTTGAAGTCTAAGTGGGAGGGACCATATCTAGTGACCAAGGTGTTTCCCTATGGGGTTTTGCAACTCTTGAATAAAGCCACGGGTTCCACTATGCAAATCAATGGTCACCTATGCAAGCTCTACAAAGATGCCAAATCACTTCAAAAGGAGGAGGACTTCTCTCAACATGTTTTTGAACCACCATGATAAGGTTGTATCTCTCTAACCTTGAGCTTTTACCTTCCTTTAATTGATATATTTAATGATAGGTATAGTTCAAGTGTGGGGGAGATGAACCTAGTAGGAAAATTAGAGTTTATTTGCTTTATTTGACTTCTTTGTTTTGTGTTTTAGTTTGAAAAAAAAAAAATCTGCACCACACTTTTGTTATGCATTCATTATTGATCTCACCTTATTTTATCACTAGTCTATACATACATTGAGGACAATGCATGATTTAAGTGTGGGGGAGAGAAATAAACATTTTGTTTTGTTTGTTTGGTTTTGTTTGGTTTTGCAAAAAAAAAAATTCAAAAAAAAAATTTTTTTCTTTGTTTTGTTTTGTTTGAGGTTACTTAATTACCTAGCTCTTGAATGGATATTTTGATTCTTGAGATGTGGTAATTTTTAGGATTGAATAGGTGTGAAGTGAACATTCTTTTACCTTGAATTAATGGATTAGAGTGGCATATTACCCATTCATGGAAGAGGCTAAACACTCATGTGTGATTAATTCCTTAGTGATGTTACCCTCTAGAATTTGTTTCACTTCTTAATTAAGACCATATATCTTGCACTTGTTTGATAGGAGATGAGAGATGGCATTCATAAAAAATAGCCAAGAGCCAAATAGCCAACCTATTATTATTTATTATCCTTTGTTAGCCACTTTGAGCCTTTGGTTTGATTCTTAAAAAAAAAAATATATTCACCCTATTTTTCCCCAAGGAATGCATGTTACACTTTTATATGTCTTTTTAATATTCATTGCATGTCCTAGATCAAATGAGTGGATGCCTATTATCATTTCTCTATCCATTACTTCCATTGTTTTCAAAGAGTTAGGGGCAACCAAAAAAAAAAAACAACAAAGATAGATTTGAAAAAAAAAATATAGTCAAAAAGAAAAGAAATAAAGTTGCTAGAAAAAGAAAAAAAAAAAGAAAAAAAAGAAAAGAAAGAAAAAAAAAAAAATAAAAATAAAAAGTTGCCTAGCTCATCCATTCCATTTGTTTTATTATTTCTTATCATTTCTTTCCATCCTCATTGTGTTAAGGTGTTCACTCAATTGAGTTAGGTTATGCTTTGCATATTAAGGGGATATATCTTGATTTAGCATTATTTTGATGCTAACCCTATTTTTTTTATATACATGCATTTCTTAGACATCCTTTCATTACCTATATCACAACCTAATAAAGTCCATTTGATTCTTGATTGCAAGTGCTATTTAGTGATGGAGATGTAGAAGGGTTACAAATTCATAGTAGGGTTTATCCTAAGAATTTTGAGTGAAATTTAATACCTTATACACTTTGAGTGATGAGAGCAAACACTTAACCTAGAGAGGCTTACTCTTTGACATTGATTCTTGGTAAGGGTTTGTTTGTGATGTGCATAATTCTTTCGTAATTATTGCCACATTGATTGATAATTTGTAGAAGTTCATGAGCTAGTATTTTAGTGACTTGAAACAATGTTTTTCTCTTATTTCTTTGTCTTATAGTTTCTTTTGGGACCTTTTTCACTTGATTTTGCCCGGAGTGCAAAAGCTAAGTGTGGGGGAATTGATAGAACACATTTGTTACCCACTTTTATTTGTCAATTAGGACCATTTTATTAATGATTTATCACCTTCAAGTGCACACATTGCATTAGATTTGGAACTTTGCCTAAGTTTCTAATATCAGTGCACTAGGGGCATTTTGGTCCAAAAAATGAACTTTTGAGAAAATGTACAAGAAAAATTGACAAAGTGCATTTTATGTCCAGTTGATGAATGGTGAAATTATATTTTTAAAATTCATTTTAGTTTGGGAGTAATTAAATAAAAAAGTCAACACTTTCTTAAGTGTCTTAGTTTGTCCTAGTTTTTGGTTTGCCTTTGTGTGAAAATTTTTATATAATTTTGTGCAGCCTAAAACTTGGTTAATTTAATAAATTCTCCCTTCTAATTATGAATTTAATTCTGGACATGAATTAGATTTTATTATATCATATGCTATTTAATTGAATTATGTGATTTATGTGACATAGGTGGCATGTGACTTGTGCATCAATTGGGCAATTGAGGTCAACACTCCTTGAGGACAATGGCTGATGGTTTGCACGTGAATTATGATTATTTTGAGGGATTAGATCAGCTAAAATGATGTGGATGACACATGGGAAATTAGGCACACATTGGAATCATCTACAAACCAATAGGAAGTTGCCACCTTGCAAGTGTGACAAGGCTCCCATTTACATTTTAATTTCTTTTTCCTTATTTTAATTAAGCTTCAGCTGATGGGAGACACCAAGGAGCACGCCATTTTAAGTCTCAAATGGGATCCAACACATATCTCATTCATCTTCCACATTCTCTCTCTCTTGTTCATAGTGTTCTTCATTTTCTCTCTTTTGTTCTTCATTTTCCAGCACCCTAACCTCCATTTTCAGCCACCAAACCTCCACAAAACTCATACCATTCTTCTCCTCTCTTCATTTTCGTTCCATCCCTTCCATTTTCACAAGGATTGAAGCTCATTTCCATCATTCAAGAGCTATGGAGTTTGGCCTTCACAAGCAATCACTAGGGTTCTTGAAGATGAAGATTGGCTAAGTTTCTTTGTGGAATCCTAGAGAGATGAAGATGGAGGATGAGTCTTGAGCTTCAAATTGGCTAAGTTCTTTTGTTTCCTATCCTCTTCTCTTTTTACTAGATGGTTAGATTCCTTAATCTAGGGTTAATCATCTTAGCTTATAAATTCTAATTTGAATTTGATGTTGATGTAAAGAGAGAGGATTGTTTCATTTAATTTCTTCCTTGGACAGCCATGACTGAATTTTGCCACTCTTTGTTTGGCACATAATCTTGTGTTTTTCAATTAGTGAATTTCTTGTGTTAATATTGCATAATCTTGTGGTGTTAATGCTTGTGTTGTTGAGTAGCTTGACATAATCTTGTGGTTGCTCAATTTATGTGTTTGACCATGGCTGTTGAGAGGGGATTTTGAGTGAATCACTTGGCTAATGTCTTTCACCAATTGGTTAATTGAACTAGGGACTTTAATCTAAGACCTAGGGAGGTTAGCTAATTAGGTTAATTGGCTTAGGATAATTTTCTTAAGTCATGACAGCTTTAGTCAAGAGGAAAGGGAAGCTAAACTTAGCCTAATCATGAGAAGATAATGAGTCCAAAATCAACTAATCTCTAGGGTTCCATTATTGTAAAAAGGGAAGTTCATTTCACTCACTTTCACTAGCATTTTAATTACTTGCATATTAGGTAATTAGTTTAGATAATTAGCTAGATAACTAAATTCCTACAAACTTTGGTTGATTTATTTCACTAGATAACTTTCAATTAGACTTAAAACCATTCCTTGGGAGATGACCTAGGGTTGGCCCTATATTGCATTAGGGTTAGCTTTAGTGTAATTTTGAGGATAAGTGACTAATTTCCTATCACTTGCCTCTAGCAATTTTAACCTTCAAAGACATCACAAGAGTTGATTAGTCTCTTGATCATGCCTGTATTCACCAAAGGATGCCATCACAAGCACCATGGTTTACAAGAGCTATAAACTCTATAAATAAGATATACTCTTATTATTCAAATCAAACTTTGGTTACAACATAAAAGAACACATATATTTATAGGCAATTCAAGAAGACTCAAAAACCCTAATTATAACACAGTTGGATGAAAATATTATAAAAATAATAATAAAATTTTAGCCACATAATTTAGGGATTATGCATCCTAAAATCATGGGATTACATTATCAAAAAATTATATAGTTAAACCTAATATTTGATTAGACTAGGAAACAAAAGACAAAATAAAATATTAAACTAACACCTTGATCCTAAAGAAAATGAATCACATCATATCCTCTATAAAACTAGTGAATCACATGTGGTCTTCAAAGTTAATAGAAGATCTAGCATTAATGCTCCAAAATTAGCTCCTTTGATGCCTCTTGCATCCTTTCTCCCCTAGTCACATATTTGTCACATGTTAAATTAAGTAAGCTAAGGTTTTGACTAAGTAGGCTTGTATCTTCATGGATTTAGGCTTGTAACACATTTTCTTCATGGAATAGACATTCTAAATGGATGTTTATATCACTATTCAGGTCCATACACATGCACAGGTTATTTGAGCAACCATCTGGGCTTAAATAAGGTTCGTTCATGTTTTGAAAACTCCCATGGTCTATTAGGCAATCCATTTTAACCTTAATTTAACATATTAAAGCTCCATTGGACTCTGCCATGTGTATATAACATCATTGGCCCTTCAATACGTTTGACATTGGCCAATGATGGATTTGGCATGGCATGTAATGTGGTATGTCATATTTCACATAGGTAATTATCCATGTCAACATCCATGCAATCATCCATGTGATCCTTTTATGTCTTTATGCTATTGGTTGATTGTTGGCCTCTTGGCCTTGTTTCACTACTTTGGCATTGTGGGTGTCTTGGCCTTGTTAGACTAGTTAGACATGCGTGACTTGCACTCTATCACTAGGTCTCACACCCACATTCTAAGGTCATTGCCAAGCTTAAAAGGTCCCTTAATCTTTCTAAACCATTTTCTACATCTATGTTACTTAATTAAACTTGATTGTTTCATTAATTAACTAATGATTAAAATTTAGGATACTATAATAACTGGTAGTTAGTGTGCAAAATAAATAAATAAATGGTTCATTCTCTTACTTGTCTCATTTAGTTCACTGAAGAAGCATTCAA